CCTCTGCCTCTCTCCCTGCTCATGCTCTCTCTCTCTCTCTGTATCTCTGTGTCTCAAATGAATAAATAGAATAAAAAAAAAAATAAGAAAACATTAAATGCTTTCTTTAAAAAAAAAACAACAACAAAACTTGGCTTTGTCCACTGCTACTCCCAGTGCTCTAATTTGTAAGGGGCCTTATCACTAAAACATCAAAGCAGCGGTTTTGATGACCCAAATCAAATGTTTTTAGGAAATGCCCACATGGTGGCCAAAAAACCCAAGCCACAATCATGCCAACATAACTCCAAATGCAGCCTATCGGTCAGAGTCCTCTCCTCAGCAGTGGGGTCAGCAGACACCCAGGAGTATCTGTCAGTTAAACCACACGGCGCGCACGCCAACAGGGCCGACCGGCTTGACCCCGAGTTCTGGTCCCACCCGGTGCCATACGTGGGGGTACGGCCTTAGGTTTTCATTTCCACTTCCTCTCTCCCTTCAACACAAAGTTGCCAACATTGGTGGTCAAGAGAGAACTGGTAGCAGCTGAAGGCCTGCTTTTATACACATGTTGGAATTTTGGGCGCCTGGCTGGCTCAGTTGGAGGAACATGTGACTCTTGATCTCGGGGTCATGAGTTCAAGCCCCACACTGGATGTAGGGATTGATTGATTGATTGATTGATTAAATAAATAAATAAATAAATAGACTTTACATAAATAAATACTTTGGAATTATTTCTATTTTCCAGGACATTTGCTTTCTCCATCTGTCACCTCGGCTGGGTCTACTGCTCTCCAAGGGATTACACATCTCCAGATGTGTGCTTTTTACTGGTGGGTGTGTAATTATCATGTGTAAATTTATAAACCTTCAACATTGCTAAAGGTTTCCAAAATCGTGAAACTCTGCTCTGAGGTTTTTCTGAGGTTATCTTGAATGCAGTTCAAAGCTCTGATATAGCATACAGTGAGGGAGGAGTGTGCTCTAGTTAAGAGGACATCTTTAGAAAAATGATATATACATTTTAAACTTCAACTCACCCTAGAGAATATTTACCAAGTACCCTGAGGACCTGAAAACTGCAGCAGACCCTGACACACACCAGCATCACATAAGGGCCTGGGTTAATGGCACAGACAATGTGTTTGGTTACACACCAAAGAAGGAACAAATGGATGTGGATCATACAGGTTAGGGCTGTAAAGAAAGGTTCAGAAGAGCAGGTGCAGGGGTCAGAGGCTGAGTGAGGCCCTGAAGGACCGGAAGCCTTCGGACAGGCAGAGCAGCAAACAGAGGTGTTTCAGGTGAGGTCACAGAGCAAAGGTGGAGGCAGGGCAGAGCATGGCATATGTGGGCATGGTGACACAGGAGGCTTGTTGGGGAGGTGGGGGTGCTATTGGGGATGATAGAAAAATCAGGGCATGACAGCTTGGTAAAGTAAGGCTGAAGCATCTGTCTTCTTGCTGGCAGGAAGGAAGTTTGGTCCAGGAGAGTGCATTGGTAAAAGCAGCATTTCAGAGTGATTCATCCAATGAGGGTAAGCCAGGTGGACTGGGGGCTGGGCGGGGGAGGGTGGTGGTATGGAGAGGCTTGTTGGGAAGAGCAGGGAGGAAGGACTATTGTGGAGGGGGGGGTCATTTGAGGACCTGTGGGAGAACTCAGCAGGGTCCGAGATATGTCTCACTACTCTAAACCTATGGAGGCTCAGCCATTTCCTGTTGTTTGGTCTGGAAACCCAAGTTGAGTGGGGCTTCTGGTAAGCCCCATAGCTGGCATTTCTCCCTTGATCCTGGCAGTTGTGAGGGGGTCAGAGACCAGCCCCCTTGCACGGGGCAGTGGGGTGATATTTCAGCTGGAGCTAGGCCAGGTAGCTGGAAGCAAGGTGCTCAGATGGGGTAGGGGTGGGGGAAGAGGGGGAAGCCTTGGAGGGAGAAGAAACCTGGCCTCGTGTTTTCTGTTTCTTGTGTTATCTAACGTTATCTTTTTTCAGTGTTGATCAAGGTCTTTGGGAAATTCTGACTTCAGGATTGCATGGGGGAACCAAGGGAGAGGCTGTCCCTACCAGGGCTGAGCTTTACTTATCAGGGAGGGGCATCTGGGACTGCTGGGAGTCTTCCCGGTTTCTTAACAAAATCAGGGAGAAACCTGGAAGTCAAAAAGGGCTCACGTCCCTAAACAGATTTAGAGTCACAATATTTGCTTGCCTTTTTGCTTGTAATTCAGAGACCCTGGAAAAACATAGCATGAGATTATATTTGTTGATTAGCTGTATTATATCGGGGGGGGGGAGAAAAGTATTGTGCTACTACATTACTGATATCCCCTGAGATATCAGTGGGAAGAAAAGGGGGGGGAAAGGCATCTTGCCTGCTAAACACTGTTTTTTTTTTCCCTCCTCACCCTAGTGCGTGTTCTCAACGCAAATGGCTATTTAACAAACTACATTTCCCTTTCTTAAAAATAAATATGTAGTGATAAATCTTTCCTTGAGTTGTTTACAGCAGAAAGTTCAAATTTGATAAGATCCAGAAACTAGGTGTGCAGGAGGCAATAGCTAGGAAAGCCCTTGACTGCCCTTGGGAAAAGGGCCCAGCTATTTTTCTCTCTCTCGACTGTTAAGAATTATATCATGAGGGGTGCTTGGGTGGATCCTGGCATCGAGCCCCATGTCCTCGGTGGGCTCCCTGCTCAGCAGGGAGTCTGCTTCTCCCTCTTCCTCAGCCCCTCCCCCCACCGGCTCATGCTCAGTCTCTCTCTCTCTCAAATAAAAATAAATCTTAAAAAAATTATATCATGAAACAGTCTCTCAACCCAGCCTAAAGAGGACTTTCATACTATGAAGAGGGATTAAAGCCAGCCATACTAACTAAGCAGGCCTCCCAGGGGCCCCAGCAGATCTGTCCCCCTCCTCACACTGAGCTTTCACCACTGCTCTGAGGCTGGCTTTGGGTCTCCCCAGGGCCTGCAAGAGCATGCCCAGACTTTCTGACCTAGCAAGTAAAGTCCTTGCTTGGTCTGGCCCCTGCCTACCTGTGCAGCCCTACCTGGCTCCCTCCCTCTCCTCCACACCCACCACCTCTGCCCTGGCCACCAATGTCCTAGTTCCATGCTTCAGCTCATGCCGCTCCCTGCTCCCTAGACCTGGAGAAGTAAACTGCCTTTTGGGGGGTGGGGGGGGGTGGACAGGGAGGGGAGGAAGAAGGCCAACCACAGATGTCACCTACTTCAGAAAACCTTCCCCCCAGATTCTAGCATCTAAGGCCTGGGTCAGGTGCTCTGAGCCCCCTTAACCACTTAGGGACCCCTGTATCACAGCATTGATATTTGTCTGGTTCCCCTTCTGGTAGTTCACTAGACTCTGTTTCTTGTGGGCTGGGGTGACACAGTGAATACTGACACCGTTGCTGCCCAGCACGGTGCCCACACACAGCAGGCCCTCAACAAATGGAAACAGCAAAAAATGGAGACAGGGGGTGAGCTGCAAAGGGGAACACGTCCACGGGGGTCAGTCTGCAGTGAGACACCCTGGGACTCTGCCACCTGCAACCAGAGGGTAGCGGAGGTGGCCAGGAAGTAGTCATGTCTGCAACGGGCTCCAGGTTAAACAAGTGGGACAGGTGTCATCCATCTGGAAAGGATATACGTGGTGGGGAACAGAACTGGCCAAGTTAGGCCTTACTCCTGGGGTTTTCCAGCGGGCCTCTTAGGTGGTCACCCTCACAGAATCCCCCCGAGGTGTTGGTTCCACCGCCTCAACATGTTTCTTGCATTCTTTCCTGAATTTCTTTTCCCAAGGGCTCCGGTCCTGACCCTTCTGAAACTCTTTCCCGACCCTTCTGCAACCCACCCAGTGGAGGGCGCTTGCCTTCAGAGTCCCACCCTACGCTATGGTTAGAGGTAGAAGTCTCCTATGCCTTCCTGCCCAAGGCCATCTCCCCAGCAGTTGATCCCTGAGGCCTCTGTCAGTCTTCCTATGTCCCCATCCCGAAGGCCCAGTGCACTGGACCCTCTCCCTTTCGGGGGTCGCTGCCTTGTACATCATCCCTGAGGTATGGGGTACGCCTTGTTCCGTACCCCATTCCCCCGTGATCTTTACCTCCATCCTGGTGTCACCCCCGTCCTCCAGGCCCCGTGTCGTGAGTCCCATCCAAGAACCCCAGCCCCTGTCGGCTTCTCCTGAGTTCCCAAGGAGCCAGCGCCAACCTTTAATGACTTCTGCGGCCTCCAAGAATTTGTTTGCAGGTATTCTGAGGCGGGACTCCTTCTTTAGAGACTTCATGGTGTCGCCCGGGCTGTGAGCGTGGCCCTGCGCCGCGGGGACCTGGGATAAAGAGGCTGTGCGGCACCCCGCAGACCCCGCGCGCGTGCCCTCCCGCCAGCGGCCGCCAACGCGTCCATAGCAACCACCGTCCCGCGCGGGGGCGCGCACCCACCGATTAACTTGGGCGGAGACTGCTTGGCAGCCATCTTTTTCATCCGGCCACGCC